AACTACTGTCTATGCATTCATAGTTATATACATAGTACACTAGGGGGTTTCTCCCTTTCTCTTCTTCCTTTTCTCTTTGAGGAAATCCACTTCAGTTAAAGGGTGCAGTGTCTCCATACGACACTACTGTTGAAGAGATTTGAGCCTGTCCTTCTCTGAGGCTCTAATCCATGTGAGTTTGACCATTGATTAATTATCACAATATCCTCTTCATCTACGGATTCACACTATATTGTGTTGTATTTTTTGTCTCATTTACATGTACATATATACATCTGTGATTTAACCCTAATTGAGGGTAAGTGTGAATACACAGCGCTCCACTCATTTGACTAGTACGGTCTGGATTTTTATCCAGTCTATACTAGACTCACTCTGGTTTATTGCTCAAAATTGAGCCTAAGTTGGTAAACCTTGCGGTGAAGGAACCGGGCGCTGCCGCTAAGGGCATGCTCTTTGGTGAGTCCTTCGTTAAGGACCTAGGCTCCTTTGTGCGTACCTTCACCACCCTAGATAAGGCCCAATCCAATTTGAAGCGCGTTTTTGGCCCAAAGGTTTTCCATAGGGCCGGGAGGTATAGGAGCCGTCTGCCCGGCCGTGGAGCTCGAGGTCCCTCACGGACTCACGTGGCAGAGTGGGGGAGGACGTGGTCAACCCTCGTACAGACGCCCTTACGGTGAGTACCCACAAACATATTTTTCCCCAGGCAAGTGTGGGGGGTAGACTGGCTTTGTTTATCGATATGTGGGGCATGATCACCACAGATGTGTGGGTTTTGAATACGGTCAAGGGTTTCCGCCTAGATCTTTTGTCTCCCCCTGTCCAGGTGTGTACGCCTCAGGGACTGAGGTTGCCAGACGGGCAGTCCGGGTTGACTACCAAGGAGATCTCAGAACTTCTTGCCAAACGGGCAATACAGGAAGTCCCGTACGACCATCCGGGGTTTCTAAGCAACTTGTTCCTCGTTGCCAAGAAGGGCGGAGGAGTTCGACCAGTTATCAATCTCAAACGACTCAGCGGATTCCTCCGTTACCATCACTTCAAGGAGGAAGGCATCCATTGTCTCAGGGATCTGCTTCGGCAAGGGGACTGGATGGTCAAGCTAGACCTCAAAGACGCATACTTGACTATACCAATGGCAAAGGAACACTGGGACTTATTGCACTTCACGTGGCAAGGACATCGGTGGAGGTTTACTTGTCTGCCCTTCGGTCTATCTTCAGCTCCTTGGTGCTTCACAAAGGTGATGAAACCAGTGGAGGCGTTCCTCAGGGCTCGAGGAATTTGCATGATTATTTACCTGGACGACATCCTGATAATGTCCGTGTCCCCCGACCAACTATCCAGGCACCTGGAATGGATGGTGGATCTTCTGCAAGGCTTAGGTTTCCTTATAAATTGGGAAAAATCCTTGGTGGCCCCGGTGCAGAAGATAGAATTTCTAGGTTTCGAGGTCGATTCGGTCGCCCAGTTCTTGTTCCTTCCAGAAGCCAAACTGAAGGCTATGAAGAAGGAAATCAGACGCACGCTTCGGACTACCTCTCTCTCCGTGTGACAACTGGCGAGAGTGATTGGCCTCCTGGCCTCTTCAATTCAGGCAATGTTCCCGGAACCCCTACATTATCGGGCCCTGCAACGTCTGAAAGGGTCCCATCTTCGCTTGGGCAGGTCGTACGAAAGCGAATTAAGCCTGGACAGAGATTCCAAAGAGGAACTTCTGTGGTGGCTGGACCATATGGAGGCATGGAACGGTCGAGCAATCTTCAATACCGCTCCGGATGTGGTGATAGAATTGGACGCGAGCCTGCATGGTTGGGGCACACGCTGTGGAAATGTCTCCACAGGTGGCAGATGGTCCGAAATCGAGTCAACGCTTCACATAAACTGTCTGGAACTACTGGCGGGATCATTCGCCATCCGCAGTCTGTCTCCGACTCTGGGAAATTGCTGTATTCTTCTGCGCGTGGACAATGTGTCCGCGGTCAGGTACATCAATCACCTGGGTGGCACGAAATCGAAGCAACTGGCGAACCTGGCAAGGGACTTCTGGCAGTTCTGCCTACACAGTGCAATCTTGGTTACGGCCGAACACATTCCGGGCTTGGACAACGAATGGGCGGATTGGAATTTGCGATACTTGAAAGACTCAGGAGATTGGCATCTGCTGCCTTTGACCTTTCGACAGATAAATCAGCTGTGGGGTCCATTTCAACTGGATTTGTTTGGATCCAGACTGAACTCCCAACTGCCTCAATACTTCAGTTGGAGGCCGGACCCATCAGCCACGGCGGTAGATGCGTTTCTGCAGATATGGCTTCAAGGTCGTCACTTTGCGTTTCCCCCTTTCAACCTGATCTCTCGGACACTGGCATACTTGTCCAGACAGGTGTGCACGTTGGTGGTGATAGTTCCCCTATGGCAGACTCAGCCTTGGTTCCCGCGGCTCTTGGAGATGGCGATGGATTGCCCAAGGTTAATCACGATGTGCTTCTGGATCCGGATGGGAACTCACACGAATTGGTGGATCAGGACCTTCTCCAGCTCACGGCTTGGCTGATTTCAGGGGACCCTGGTGTGTCGCAGACGTTCCGCAAGCTACCACAAGGCTCCTGGAAAGTGCCTGGGCACCAGGTACCAGAACAGCTTACAAATCTGCATTGCGTGTGTGGTCTGGCTGGTGTGTGGGAAGACTGTTGGATCCACTTTCTGCCCCTCTGAAGGAGGTGCTCAGTTTTTCTGACTACACTTTTTGAATCTGGTTTAGCCTACCGCACTATTACTGTTTGTAGATCAGCCATCTCGGCCGGACATCAGGGAATTGACGGATCGCCGGTTGGACAACATTCCTTCGTGTGTCGGTTGTTGAAAGGTATTCGTTATTCTAGGCCTCCGAGATCCAGGTAGTCATCATTTTGGGATGTTAATGTAGTGCTTGGCATTTTGGAATCATGGCCCAGTAATGAAGAGCTGTCGCTGAAACAATTGTCCTGGAAACTGGTTATGCTCCTGTGTCTCCTTTCATGCAAAAGAGTTTTGGATGTCAGGGCTTTGGACTGGAACGCGATCTCCTTCACCCCCGAGGGAGTGTCGTTTAACATCTCTATGAGGACTAAGACGGCTTCTAAGTCAGTGACCTACCCTAGGTGCCCTGTCCGACCTGCTCTGTGTCCGGTGTATTTGGATCGCAATCACCAGTTGAGGTCATTGGAGTTGTCCCAATTGTTTATTTCCTTTAGGACGCCATTTCTCCCAATCTCTTCGACCACGTTAGCTCATTGGGTTAAGAATCTTCTCTCCGCTGCAGGGTTTGATACTTCAATATTTTCAGCCCATTCGGTCAGAGGCGCCATGGCATCTAAAGCTTCTACGATGGGATGTCGCCTGGATGATATCTTGAAGGCAGCGGATTGGTCTAGTGAATCTACATTCCGAGATTTTTATTTCCGCCCGATTGACCATGTTTCCTCGTTAGTTGTGGCTCAGCTTTAAACTAGCCTCCGTGTCATTAATAAAATTAATAATAGGAGCCTCCGTGTCATTAATAAAATTCCCAGATTTTACTAATAACATGACGTAAAATCATGATTTTATTAATGACACGGAGGCGAGTATTATTCCCACCCACCCGTTGGGTATGGGTTGGATCTATGCTTGTGGTTCAATCGGGGGGGTTTCTTCTACCTCACGTTAAGTGCTCACGGTTTTTTCTCTTGATATGATGAGATCAAATGTGGTCTTATTATTATTACATATGTGTTATTTCGGTAGCTTGGTGTATATGGTTTACAGGCCAAATTGTTATGATATGTTACATTCAGATCCGAAGTTTGGATTTTACCTCCTATTTCTCTATTTTACAGCTTGATTTCGTTGTAATGATGTCTACCTTGTTGGCGATTGTTCTTTCCTGATGTGGATATTTTCGGTTGGGTCTTCGGTTCAGAAGGCAAAGAAGAGGAAGTGGAAGTACTAAGCAAGGCATTTTTGGACTGTTCCTATAAGCTGATTGGCTGCCCTGTTACTAGGCAGATCTGGTTATATCTGTTATTATATTATCCATATTTTGCATTTTTTCTCTTTCAGTTATATTTTCTCTTTGCTGCTTAGGAATAAAGTAAGAAAGAGATAGCATAATAGGAGCCTCCGTGTCATTACTAAAATCATGACTTTACGTCATGTTATTAGTAAAATCTGGGAATTTTATTGAGTTTTCACAGCAGTGTTAATGTAATGACCATATGGGCTAGTCCCAAGGAAAATAAAGTTTTAGACAGTTCTACTTCACCCTCAATTTGGAGTCCTGTCTCTTATTGGGGGAATCTGCTACAAGGGATTGCTATCGATCTTTGTTATATTCAGAGGAAGCCCAAATTGTTGTTACAAGTGCACTTGAAGAAGCGAGAATTAGACACCAGACACGTGTTGGTATTCAAAATAAGCCTCTGACGTTTTATTCATCAGCTGGGTTTTATACATTAAAAAGTAAGTGCTTACGTGCAAATACTCTTAGAACAGTAATAGGAAGAGAGTACAGATAAGACATAGGGATGAGCGTCATGTACACATAACAAATAAGTTTCAAGGTAAGAGAGAACAAAATGATTAGAGCAGAAACATCTTAGGTGGGGGCTCTCTGCTCCCGGAACTCAGACATATATGGTCTTAAGTGTTGTTTAAGCATCAAGCATTTCCTGAGTCCAAGTTAGCCAATTTTAATATAGGATATCATTATATGACACCTATAAGCTTGAACCTTGGAATCAAGATAAATTCTATCACACTATGCTCTGCATATTCCCTTGCTATAATCACCTTGCTTTTAAGAGCTTGTTCCTGCTTTGCTCTGAAGGAAGAGAGGTACGGCCTGCGGTGGTTGTGGTGTTGGCTAGAGTGCTTGGAATCCTCAAGAAGCTCTAGGAGCATCCTTCAACGGAGGTACCCAGTCGGGGTGCCAGGTGATCCGTTACATTGGTGGCAGCGGTGGAATGGCGTCCTAGTTCGGAGACACCGGTAATGTGTGGGGTTACAAATAGAGGGATAGAGCTAGCTACTGTGCAGCGTCCCTATCTACAGCTATATGGAGGAAAAGTTCCACTGGAGATTGCAGGAGCTCCTGTCTCTGCAGGATGGGCCTATATCAGAGGAGGCCATGATGGACTACCGGGAGGCGGCCAGAAAGGAACTTTGGGATGAAGCCCTGGTGGGAGCCCTCACCCAATTGTCTCTGCCACCCCCCAAATCCTTAATGTGTCTCTCCCACCCTTCACCTATATGTCTCTACCACCACACTAACTACTCCATGTGTGTCTCCCACCCCCTCCATGTGTCTGTCCCACCCCTAGCCCCTTCATGTGTCTCTCCCCTAATCCCCTGTTTACTTCCATGTTCACTTGTTGTTTTATATTTTATGTATTCACTTCCATGACCAAACGGACCACTGTACCAATTCAGACAGGAAGTGCTCTCTCAGTGAGCACTTACTGTCAGAATGTGGTCCCCTCAGCCACACTACAAGCAATGACTGGCAGGAGAGGAGTGTTGGGCTGTATGCCCCCCTCCTGTTGGTCACTCAGGTCACTGCGCATCTCAGTTATGCCAGCCCACAGTAGTAGAGGTCGACCCTGCTACTGTAATAGTTACTCCACTGCCATCTAGGAGATAATCAAACTGTGGTACTGAGTGAAAAGTAGGTGACATTGCTCAAGTTGAAGCAACACTATAGAAATCCAGACCTCTACATCTCAATGAAGTTTCTGGATGCTATGTCCCTCTATTTATATCCTTGCAACTGCAAATATTGCCGTTCTGCAGGGCTTCAATATGAGAGCCAGTAGAGGCACTTGTGCAGACTCATTTTAATCAGACCATCTGATTGTCACAGAGCAGCAATTTCCTGTGCATGTGCACTAGCATCCCAGTGCTTTTCTATGGATTGGCTGAGATCAACAATCTCCTATAGAATGGCTGACACCATTGATCTCCTATGGATTAGTTGAGATCATCGATGGAGGCAAGAGCAGCTGTGGAGAGAGTGCACTCAGGAGTGAAAGGTGGTAAACAAAACAGCTAGAGTACATTATATTGTTAGGAATACATATTTGTATTCCTAATTCTATACTGTTTCTTTAACTCATATCTTCATTCAACATGAGCGATACTGTTTGTCTTGCTTGCTGGTTCTTCAGAATCCTTCTCTGTGTTTTCATAGATCATGCCCATTTAGTAGTTAAATCACTTTGTGTATACAGCCCTAGTCGCACCTCCCTGCATGTGACTTACACAGCCTTTATAAACTCTTCCTGTTTAGAAAGATAAATATACAAACAAACGTGTGAAATACAGGCACCTATATCGTAATCTATTATAGTATATTTAGTGCAGCAGCTGAAACACTGTGTGGGTGTTCCAGAATCACCCACTAAATAGAATACTTAAAAATATACTTAACTCTATTAAGAGTTTTGTATAGGTTAACAAATTTTTAACATAATAAGGAATTTTTTACATAGTGGTAAAATATATATTTTAAATTAATTTCCCATATGCATTTTTTTAACCTAATTTATTTTATTCTGGTATTTCCTATTTTTAGGATTATAATATTTATAAATACCAATATCTAATTTACAGTTGTAGTAAGTACACATCATTCAGTTATTAACATCAATTTTATGTCACATTTATCTTAATAAAGAGATTTTGTATTGTGTTTGTATAACATATATGGATATGTATGATTGCTTTGGATTGATTATATTTATATTTTTCTGTCTGTATTTTCATGAATGGACTGCCAAATAATGAATTACACCGGGGACGGAACATATCAGCACTGAGCATTATGGGCACTGTAGTTCCGGATACAACCCAGAAGTGATGTATTGCAGGTATTTGAAAATTTACAGCACGAAAACCAGCAATGTAAGACAGCTGATTCTGGAGGAGGATAGAGAACAAGGAGCACAATGATTGGAGCACATGATCAATGGGTGGATTTGAAACACCGTTATAACACCCGAACCAAGAACAGGAATGACAGCCGATTGAAAAAGCCTATTGAATAGGAGAAACGCGTCTCGGAGGTCGGAGTATCAAAGGACATCATTTGTATTCATATAATTTTTCATTTATTTTACATTTGCTATATTATTTTTATTTTTATTTTAATCTTATTAAATAAAGTGCACTTTACCAATTGGATCCAGACTCTCTACCAAAGGCAAATGTCACCCAGAAAAGACACACAAGTGTTTGAACTCAGAGCCAGTTTGGAAGGCTCTGTACCAGGTGAACGTTCCTAGGTGTGTGTAACAGTTTATTATCAGTTATTAACACACTGCACTTAGGAGACTTCTCTTCACCTTTTATCTCCCTGTTATATATATCATATGGAGAACATCTATAAAAGAACAACAGGGTTGTATGTCACCCCAGGGCATACCAGCTTCCAAGTTTAGAGCCTATATTCTTTTTTTCAATATATTTTATTTTTCAATTTTCAATGGTCATGCAAAGAATAAAAGGGGATTAACTTAGGAGGGGATACACGGAGAGAAAAAGGGGGGGGGGAGGGGGACAATGCATATACAATGTATCATATTCTTACAAAAGTATCGTTAACAGCTGTACATAGAATAAGATATTAGCCACAAGTCACCAGCTTCAGGATAAATTACATACATTAGTAGTTACATATACATGTGTGCCTGAAACGGTCTAAGGCACTGAATTGTTTCCGTACGCCCTAACTGTAAGACCTCTGGGGCGAGAGGAAAGGAAGGGTGGGAGGGTTGGCGAAGTTGAGCTATGGCAGTGAAATTTTGTACTGTATCGTGGTGAAAAGCTGTTACATTGGGTAGCACTCTTTACATAGAAGCCCTTGGAAAGTATCATGTACATAATCTCAATTACATCTTGCCGTACCTATAATCCACCCATCTGCTCCACCTTGTTTCATGTCTGCTCTGCCTCTCAGTGATGCGACTTGCCATGCGCTCGTAATTATAAATCGAATCTAGTCTACCTAAAATCTCTGATAGCGTGGGAGCTTGTGTGGATTTCCACTTTTGGGCAATCGCTGTTTTAGTTGCCATGAGGCAGTGGATCATTAAGTAGCTTTCATCTTCATGGAGGTTGTCTGGGAAGATGTGTAATAAAAAACATTCTGGTGTCGGAGGTACCCCGATCCCTAGGTTTTTGCAAAAAAGTGTGTGGATGTCTTGCCATAATGATGTGATCTGTGTACAATTCCAAAATATATGGTAAAGGGATCCCTCTTGATTGTGACATCTCCAACATAGTTTGTTCGCTCCTGGGTATATGTGGGCCAGTTTGTTGGGGACCAGGTACCATCGCATGGTTAGTTTGCAGTACGTTTCCCACTGATTAAGGCTGTGTGAGGCCTGCTTTGTTAGCTTCTGAGCCCGATGCCACGTGTTTACTGGGAAATGTAGTCCCAGGTCCAATTCCCAGTTTGTCATATAGGAGGGTTTTGTTGCCGTGTATTGTGTAAGAAGTGTATTGTAGCAGAGGGCTAGTGCTTTCTCTTTGGGAAGCTTCCCCGTACATTTATGTACAAATGGTGATATGAGATTAGACTCTTTCAAGATAATCCTGCTTTCCTGTAAGATATTCTTTAGTCTCAGATAGGTGAATAGTTCCCTGGGTGGAATATGAAAATCCCTGACCAAGTCAGGGAATGGTTTGATACCTTCTTGGGTCAACAAGGAACGTACCCCAGAGATCCCCCGGCTAAGCCAGTTTCCTAGCTGCAGGCTCGACGTATGGGCAGTCAAGGCCTGAAGTGGTGCTTCAAGGAGTAGGTCATTCTCCTTGAGGAATCGAGGGGTAGTTTGCCTCCAAGTCTGGAGCAATGTCCCTGTGGTTGGTAACAGGTTTTTGGGTTGTAAAGGTGTTGTGCTTGCCCAGAGGAGCATTGGAATCGTGCCGGTGGACAGGCATGCGTTTTCCAGCGCCAGCCAAACCGGAGGGGACTTCCTTTCAAGGATCGTGATGCCTTGTGCTAATATTGAAGCTTTGTGGTATAGTTTTATGTTGGGAATGCCCAGCCCGCCTTTTGTGAATGATCGCCAAAGTGAGTTTTGTGCTATTCGTGGGGGTTTGCGCTTCCAAATGTGTGCATTAATCTTGGCCTGAAAGTTCCTCAGTATCGAGTTCGGGATAGTAATGGGCAGGGTGCGAAAGAGATAAAGAATATGTGGTAAAATCATCATTTTTACGGTGTGAATGCGGCCAAGCCAGGAGATTTCTTTGTCCTCCCAAGACTTGAGCTGTTGATCTAGTCTATGTAAGAGCGGTGTGTGGTTTTCCCGTATTGTCAGTGTGTGTAAAGCTGGCATTTTTATGCCCAGGTACGAGATGGAGGATTTCTTCCAGTCAAATGGGTACAGTGTTTTAAGGTGTGAGAGAAGGGTGTGGGGCAGCCCTAGCGCCAACGCTTGTGTTTTTTTGGCATTATTTTTGTAATAAGACAATTTTCCATACCTTCCTAGGAGTGATAGCAAGTTTGATAGAGATGCCTCCGGGTGTGTTATGAAAAGGAGAACATCGTCTGCGAAAAGGGCTATTTTTTGCTCCCCTATTGGCGTTGGGAGGCCCACAATATTTTGGTCAGATTTAATATGTCTGATTAGGGGTTCCATACATAGGATAAAAATTAGAGGAGAGAGCGGGCACCCCTGTCGGGTACCGTTCGTTATATGAAAAGGTTGTGACAAGAATCCGGAATTGAATATTTTGGCTGACGGTTTGGAGTATAGGACCATTATGCAATTCAGGAATTCTGGTGGGAAGCCCATGTGCGTCAATACAGACCGCATATATGTCCAGTTCAAGCGATCAAACGCTTTTTCCGCGTCTAGGGCTAATAGCAAGCCCTTCTGGTTAGTGTTTTGGGCCCAAGTAATTAAGTTTAAAAAGTGGCGCGTGTTGTCCCCGGGTTGCCTATTCGGAACAAAGCCTGCCTGTTCCGGGGAGACCAGATCCTGTAACATGGGTTGGATGCGTGTGGCTAGTAGTTTGGCATATAGTTTTGTGTCAGCATTCAGCAACGAAATAGGCCGTAAATTGGCGCATTCCGTAGGGGGTTTGCCTGGCTTAGGGAGTGTAACAATATGGGCTAGCAACATCTCTTCCGGCATGGAACCTGAGTCCCCAAAGGAGTTGAAGAGGTCCGTGAGGTGTGGTGTGAGTTGCGCTTCGAATATTTGATAAAAGCGGTTGGGAAATCCATCTGGACCCGGGGCTTTGTGTTTGGGTAATTTAAGTATAGCTTGGCGCACTTCATCTTCTGTGAACTTAGCTATCAGTGTCTGTTTTTGTTGTATAGACAGGTGTGGCAAATTTGCCTCGCCCAGAAAGGTATCTATGTCAGCTGTTATTGGTTGGTGAAGTGATTTATCTTGTGTAAGGTTATATAGGCCTTTGTAGAAGTTTGCTAATTCGTCCACTATGTCCTGCGGGTTAAATAGTTTTGTACCCGTGGCCGTAGTCATGTATGGGAGTTTTGTTTGTATATAACGCGATTTTAGACGGTTTGCTAGCACCTTGCCTGCCTTATTCCCATGCATGTAGTAAGTCAATTTCAGTTTGCGTAGTTGCCTTTCCATAGTGGTTAGAGACAAAGCATGTATCTTCCCTCTTGTCTGTTCAATCTGTTGGGACAGTGATCTAGATGGTCTTACTTTATTAGCCCTTTCTAATGTCTGGAGCAGTGCAGTTAGTGTATCATTTTCGTTATAAGCTTTCTTTTTGCGTATTGACCCCACTTGTATTAAGAGACCTCTGAGTACAGCCTTGAGGGCCAACCATTTGGTGCCTACACTGGAAGGGTCTGTCTGATGATTTTCATAAAACGTATTTATATTCCTGCGTATTTTGGTGGCCGTGTCAGTGTCATCTATGAGGGAATCGTTCAGACGCCACGCACTCCGTCCTCTAGCTGGGTATAAGGCCCTAAACGTGGTGGTTATTGGCGCATGGTCAGACCAAGTTCTGTCACCTATTTGTGCTTCTATAACATTTGGGATTGTGCTTTTGTCTACCCAGCACATGTCTATGCGCGAGTAAGTGTGGTGTACCTGTGAAAAGTAGGTGTAATTCTTCTCGGTCGGGTAGAGTGAGCGCCATGTGTCATAGAGGTCGTTCTTGTGGAGTAATTTGCTGAGATTGAGGCTCATAATACTAGCTTGCTGGAGCGGTTGTTTTCCTTCTATACGCTTGATGTCTAAATTGGGGTCCAGCGTGCAGTTTAGATCCCCACAAATTATGGTGTGACCCACCCGGAGGCTGGATATTTTGTGTAACGCACGTTTTATGAATGCAGTTTGTGAGTTATTGGGTGCGTATATGGATGCTATCGTCAATTGCATGCCATTCATTGAGCCCACCACAACGAGGAGTCTGCCTAGCTCGTCTCTGTATGTATTGGTGAGTTGGAACACCCAGTCTGCGTGGAACAGTATTGCCACCCCTTTAGTTTTGGTTGGGGAAAAAGCATGATACACTTGATGGTATTTAGAAGATGTTAGAGTGGGGGGATTGGTCTTACACATATGTGTTTCTTGGAGACACACTATAGCTGCCTGTGATTTGTGCATTGCCCTGATCACTGAGCTTCTTTTAAAGGGACTATTTAGGCCATTTACGTTCATGGAAAAGCATTTAAATTGGTAAGCCATTAATAGTATGTGGGATGTTGCATTCTCTCATCGTGATACGGAGTTCGTATAGGTGCTGACCTCTCAAACGAGTATATTCTACTGGGTACCTGAGTGTGCCGTAATGGTTGCTGGATTTTTGTGTATGCAAAATTTATCTCTGCTGCCATAGTATTGGATAGGGGGGTGGCAGGTATAAAACAGGGGAAACGGAAAACTAATAACATAAGTATATACAAAGACTCTCGACCTTGAGAGTTTACATTGGAGTACAATATGGAGCCATCGTGCTCCATCATTGTAAGTCCTTTAGGGGGGTCGTGCGGAACTGTACCGCACCCGGGCCAGACTTGACACATGTCTGCTCTGTTGCCTGCGATCATCATGGGGATTTGGGAGCCAGGACAACAATTCCATTATCGTCCGCTGTAGGACTGGAAGGCATTGTTGCGAAAGGGGACTAAGATATATGGGTCGCAGCTTCAGGGACTGTGTGCTTTTTTTTTTTTTTTTTCCTTATCCATTCGGTTGTTTTCGTTAACCTCTCAATAGTTTTAATAATCCTTAGCTATAGCATATCGGGATCGCTCGAACCCACTCCCAGCCTGTGTAGGACGCTTCCCCTGCCTGTGATGTGTGCGTTATTGTCAAGTGGATCTGTTTTTAGATGTCAGTGCTATACAATGGTGACCCAGCTAGCGTAGTATAGATATCTGGATCGTAGTTAACCGGTACTTTGCCCTCCCATTGTGGGGTACCTTCCCATACACCACATCAACACCAATCCGCCCCTATTGGGAATATCACATTGTGTGCTAAACACATTTTCCAACCAGCGGAGTCCTTAGGCAGGCCAATGCGTTCAGCCCCAAATATTACCCTCCAAGCAGTACGCATAACAATTAGCTTTGCATAGGATAGCGCTTAACATTGTGGGGACTCGCGTCAGCGACTACATGTGATGTGCATAGGCTTTAAATCGGATAAGGCTCAGTAGAATGAGGGAGAGTAGTAAGTTGGTCTCTAATGCTGTGGCATTATTACTGTTGTTATATATATGTATATTTTTTTTTTATTTTTTTTTTAATTTATAATGTGAACATCTTAATGCTGAAATTAGTTGCACTGACGCGAGCCCCCATATAAATACCACTGTCGGTCGTCGGTGTCTCCGACTCCTTCCAGTGCCTCAAGACATGGGAATGGCTGGAGCGTGGATCCCATAGAGAACAGTTCCTAGATAGTGTCCTGAACGACTGCTGCACCCTCAGTTAGTCTGTCTTCCTTTAGCGGTGTAAGGCATTGTTGTGAATGTAGTTCCCTGGCTTGATGGCACTATGTGGATCGCTGGTGAAGGGGTTCTCCCACCATCTTCCATTCGGGACGGGTCTTCTTCGCTGAGGTCCCTGCAGTTGCCGTCGGATGGTCTATCTCCGGTGTGTTCCATAGGCCCCAGCTTTTCAGCGCGGACATACCCTCTGATGGGTCAGCTATAGTGTGAAGCTTGTTGTTCCGCCATATTAACAGTTTAGTGGGGAAACCCCATCTATAAGCCTGATCATGATTTCGCAGAGTCTTGGTTATGGTTGAGAACTCTCTTCGCCTGGCCATAGTTAGAGCTGAGAGGTCGGCATAGATTGAGACCGAGCTATATGGTTCGGGTAGCGTTGGCTTAGTTCTGGCTGCTTTTAAGAGTGCCTCTTTGGCCTTGTAGTAATGAAAGCGCACAATAATGTCGCGCGGAACATCTGCCCCCAACCTAGGTGGCTTGGGTAGGCGGTGGGCCCTGTCCACTTCCCAGGAGAGTGCGGGATCGGGGACCAGCGCAGCACTTATTGCTTTTATGTAGGCTGGAATCTGGTCTGCTGTGATGGATTCCGCCACCCCCCGAAATCTTACATTATTCCGGCGGGAACGATCCTCCATGTCCGCCATCTTGTGCCACAGTTTAGTATTATCGTCTTCTAGTTTCTTTAATTTGTCTGCCAATTCATTGTGTGCTGAGCACAGGTCTTCTGTCCTCCGTTCAACCTGATCTGTGCGGTCTCCCAATTCTTCTAGTTCCTGGTGTAAACCAGATATGGCAGTCGTGAAGTCTTCTTTTATTGTGGCTCTCAGCTCCATGAGCATTGATTTGAGGAAATCCTTTGAGATTTGGCAATCCTCTGTAGAATGGTGTGGGGACCCCTCATTAAGGGCATCAGGCTCTGGGGAATGCGCTCTGCTACCGGCGCCATCTTGGGCCTGTTTCTGCCGCTCTTTTTTGTTTTGGCGGACCGCATCCGTAAGTTTAGTTTGCTTTGAGGGTGACATGGGGTCACTCCTACACTGCCCCTTTAGTTTGTGGCTCGGTTTTCAGTCTTAATAATAGCTTTTTTAGCCCGGGTGAAGCGGAGCTCCTAATCCGTGCGTCCGATCGTGCCGGAAGTTGGACACGCCCCCTAGAGCCTATATTCTAAAGGCTCTTTACCATGTGAGTTTAATACCACTCACCCTTGTCACTATATTTTACCCATTGTGTAATAGAGTCACACTATATATTCCTAACCACTGTAACACCTGGTTTTGAGTGTATTTTTAAGTCTTCATGTATAGAATCATCTAATGGTTACACTTCCTTTGTTGCAAATTCTATTTAATTTAGAATTTCTCATCTCCTGCCCTGGTAATAGCTTGCAGGAGCCTCCTGTATGTAATCCCTGCAAGAGCCTTCTGTATGTAATTAAAGTAAAATTTACAGACCAGGATATAAAAACTTTTAGTAAGTTACATCTGATTGAAAATTAAACCATTTTGCTTTCATGCAGGCTGTGTCAGCTGTGTCATGAGATTTAACTCATACATGGCAGTGAATTAAGCTGTGAAACTTCACAGGCAGGATCTATACACCAAAACTGCTTCATTAAGCTAAAGTTGTTTTGGTGGCTATAGTGTCCCTTTATTTCAAATAATTATGATAGTAAATTCACACATTTTACTATTAACATGACGTAAAGATTTTATTAATGACACAGAGGCGAGTATTATGCTGCACTCTTTCTATATTTCTCTCAGTAGCAAAGAAAAAATATAACATTCAAACGGTATGATAACAATAAATAGTATGAGAGGTATATCTTCCTAGCGACAGGAACAGCCAATCGGATTCCACTCTCCAGCATAATAGGCGATGATGAGTAATCTACTTCCTCTTTCTTGCGATCCCGAACAAGGACAAACGTGTCACATAACAGGGAAACACCAACAAGAAGAGCATGCCAGTAAAGGTGCAATGTCAAATCAAGCTGGAAGAGAGGAGAAATATGGTAATATCCGAGTATAAAACTGGATGTATGCATAAATCATACTATCTGTCATCAAGTATAAATGTACGATCATAATTAGGAGTAGTCTAAACTGAACTCTAGACACTTCAAAATTGGATAATACTATACTCTTACCATGAAGTCAACTTACCCAAATCCACTCAATCCTCGGGTGGGAGGGATAATACTCACCTCCTTGTCGTTAATAATATCATGACTTTACATAATTTTAATAGTAAAATCTGTGAATTGTATTAAGACACGGAGGCTCCTATTATGCGGGTTTAAAGCTGGGAAACTACAGTCATCGCAAAGTGTTGAATAGGTCTAAAATAAAAGTCACAAAAAGTCAACTCAGAAGACCAGTCGGCCGCTTTCAAAATGTCCTCTAGGCGGCAACCAATCGAGGAGGCCTTAGAGGCCATTGCCCCTCGAACTGAGTGAGGGGAAAATAGTTAAGTATCAATAGACACTGAGTAGATGCGATTTCTGGAAGGAAACAAAGAGTTCGTGTTTCGATTGGTTCCGTAGTGAAGGGGTGCGAAAATCATATGTTTGCAGGCATGTGACCGGACATAAGAGTGGTTTGTCAGGGAAAGATGGATATAAAAAACTTTCTTCGAGGAAGTTTTAGTTCTCCGAGATATATCAACGAGGACACCTTCCAGGGTTTATGAATGAGCAGTAATATCAAGCGCTGTACAGGGAACAGAAATCCCTGAAGATGTCCATGATGTCCTCATCATCACCTATTATGCTGGAGAGTGGAATTTGATTGGCTGTTCCTGTCGCTAGGAAGATATACCTCTAATGCTATTTATTGTTATCATACCGTTTGAATGTTATATTTTTTCTTTGTTGCTGAGGGAAATAAAGAAAGAGTGCAGCCTAATAGGAGAATCTGTGTCTTAAAGGGACACTATAGTAACCAGAACAACTACAGCTTATTGAATTTGTTCTGGTGTGTAGAATCATTACCTTCAGGCTTTTTGTTGTAAACACTGTCTTTTCAGAGAAAGTGCAGTGTTTACATTACAACCTAGTGATAACTTCACTGGCCACTCCTCAGGTAGCTGTTAGAGATCCTTCCTGGGTCATGGCTGCCTAACATGCATCCAAACATTCAGTATCCCCTCCCTCTGCATGCAGACACTGAACTTTCCACCTAGAGATTCAATTTATCTCTATGAGGAGATGCTGATTGGCCAGGGCTGTGTTTGAATCATGCTGGCTCTGCCACTGATCTGCCTCTTTGTCAGTCTCAGCCAATCCTATGGGGAAGCATTGTGATTGGATCAGGCTACCACTTCTGATGATGTCAGCAGACTGCTTGTTTTTTTGAGGCAAACAGCATGTAGAGTTACAGCTTCTGGCTTGAATACAGTAAGATTTTGCTATATTTATTGAGGCATGAGGGACCCAGGGGGCTAGATGGTGGTTTTAACACTATAGGGTCAGGAATACATGTTTGTATTCAATATTCAATATCAATATCAATATTGATAACGCCGATTGGCGAAACGCGTTTATGGTTTTTTATATTGTGTAATGTTACAATTAAAGTATATTTTATAATCTTTTATTGTACTACTTATCTTATTATACACATATAATTATTATTACTGCCTGGCATCATTCGCTGGACTCCAAGCAATCCTAGGTGGGGATTATTCCACCAGTGCGAAATACCAGGAGCAGTTGACCTGCTCCTGTCTTGTGAGTACCCATTTTTTTTTTTTTTTATATTGGATTTTAAATTTTACGCAGAGAACACTATTGGCTGTCTCTTTTTATTTGAGCATCTCTTACACCACGGAAGGAGGAAACACGTGAAGGATAACCATCCTATATCCCATAAGCGGGGATCTAAACCGCTGTACGCCTTCTATACCAGAGCAGGTTCTAGCTCTTGGATATGTGAGTTCGCAATCAAGCTTTTACAGGGAGTGCAGAATTATTAGGCAAGTTGTATTTTTGAGGATTAATTTTATTATTGAACAACAACCATGTTCTCAATGAACCCAAAAAACTCATTAATATCAAAGCTGAATATTTTTGGAAGTAGTTTTTAGTTTGTTTTTAGTTTAGCTATGTTAGGGGGATATCTGTGTGTGCAGGTGACTATTACTGTGCATAATTATTAGGCAACTTAACAAAAAACAAATATATACCCATTTCAATTATTTATTATTACCAGTGAAACCAATATAACATCTCAATATTCACAAATATACATTTCTGACATTCAAAAACAAAACAAAAACAAATCAGTGACCAATATAGCCACCTTTCTTTGCAAGGACACTCAAAAGCCTGCCATCCATGGATTCTGTCAGTGTTTTGATCTGTTCACCATCAACATTGCGTGCAGCAGCAACCACAGCCTCCCAGACACTGTTCAGAGAGGTGTACTGTTTTCCCTCCTTGTAAATCTCACATTTGATGATGGACCACAGGTTCTCAATGGGGTTCAGATCAGGTGAACAAGGAGGCCATGTCATTAGATTTCCTTCTTTTATACCCTTTCTTGCCAGCCACGCTGTGGAGTACTTGGACGCGTGTGATGGAGCATTGTCCTGCATGAAAATCATGTTTTTTTGAAGGATGCAGACTTCTTCCTGTACCACTGCTTGAAGAAGGTGTCTTCCAGGAACTGGCAGTAGGACTGGGAGTTGAGCTTGACTCCATCCTCAACCCGAAAAGGCCCCACAAGCTCATCTTTGATGATACCAGCCCAAACCAGTACTCCACCTCCACCTTGCTGGCGTCTGAGTCGGACTGGAGCTCTCTGCCCTTTACCAATCCAGCCACGGGCCCATCCATCTGGCCCATCAAGACTCACTCTCATTTCATCAGTCCATAAAACCTTAGAAAAATCAGTCTTGAGATATTTCTTGGCCCAGTCTTGACGTTTCAGCTTGTGTGTCTTGTTCAGTGGTGGTCGTCTTTCAGCCTTTCTTACCTTGGCCATGTCTCTGAGTATTGCACACCTTGTGCTTTTGGGCACTCCAGTGATGTTGCAGCTCTGAAATATGGCCAAACTGGTGGCAAGTGGCATCGTGGCAGCTGCACGCTTGACTTTTCTCAGTTCATGGGCAGTTATTTTGCGCCTTGGTTTTTCCACACGCTTCTTGCGACCCTGTTGACTATTTTGAATGAAACGCTTGATTGTTCGATGATCACGCTTCAGAAGCTTTGCAATTTTAAGAGTGCTGCATCCCTCTGCAAGATATCTCACTATTTTTGACTTTTCTGAGCCTGTCAAGTCCTTCTTTTGACCCATTTTGCCAAAGGAAAGGAAGTTGCCTAATAATTATGCACATAGAACACTATTGTCATTAGACCACACCCCTTCTCATTACAGAGATGCACATCACCTAATATGCTTAATTGGTAGTAGGCTTTCGAGCCTATACAGCTTGGAGTAAGACAACATGCATAAAGAGGATGATGTGGTCAAAATACTCATTTGCCTAATAATTCTGCACTCCCTGTATATTTTATTTCTTTCATATTAAGATATACTGCACCATTGTGTTTTTGTATTTGTTCTTATCTCTTACATACGAGACGGTCCACAAGAAAGACAGAAAGCAAGATTATTGTTTCGGACTAAGCACTACGGATATTGCAAGATAAGACCTTCTCTCCTTTATTTATTTATTTTATCTCTACTTTTATATTTATTATCTAAGCGCAGCCCTTTCTCTGTATTTTTTGTGTTTTATCCTAAAGGGCCTTTGAGGGATTCCCTTTTTAGGGTTGCTGCTTATTTGTGTTATTTAGCGCTTACTCATTTGTTTTTGTTTTACTTTAATATCAGAAGCTCTGAAGCATTTATTGGGATTCTCTGGTATTGCCAATTTAAGCAAATTGAAAATTATTATTTTTTACACCAGAAATTCCCACCAATCTTATTCAAGTTACCTCAGACCTTATGATACAAAATATATGGGATACAGCTGAATACCTAAAATATAAAAAATAAAATAGTGCAACACTGTATAAATGCATCCACAAAGCCCCCATTAATAATGGAATTCCATAATTAGTGAGTGCTTTGTGGATTCATTTATACAGTGTTGCACTATTTTGTGTTGTTTTATATTTTAGGTATTCAGCTTTATCCCATATATTTTGTAACCATTTATTGTTTGTATGAGGTCACCAACAGGGAAGGGACCTCGGGAAGCTGTTCATTTAACCCTGACTAACACTATTGTTGATAAGAGGGTATATTGGCACCATTTGGTTTTGTTTCCCTGCACCTCAGACCTTATACCTGCTGCAAGCCACTTGAAATATTTCTCATGAGTTAACACATCCAACTCGTCATGGCTACAATTATTCACATTTTGTTGTGGATATACTAGATATAGCATAGCATGTTTTTAAAATACAGATTACAAAACACACTCTTTGGTATTCCACCACTGCATATTAAAATGGTATCTTACAAATTTAAGTTGACAACAAAAGTGTAGGTTACAGAGTATAGTGAGCTAAATGTGCCATTTAACCCCTTAAAGGACCACTATAGTGCCAGGAAAACATACTCGTTTTCCTGGCACTATAGTGCCCTGAGGGTGCCCCCACCCTCAGGGACCCCCTCCCGCCAGGCTGGATGGCAAGGAAAGGGGTTAAACTTACCTTTTTTACAACGCCTCTCCGCCTCCGATCTCCCTCTTCGGCTGAATGCGCATGCGCGGCAGGAGCTGCGCGCGCATTCAGCCAGTCTCATAGGAAAGCATTCAGAATGCTTTCCTATGGACGCTGGCGCACGCAAACGCCTCTAGCAGCTGTCAATGAGACAGCCACTAGAGGCTTTAGAGGCTGGATTAACCCATTTCTCTGGAACTGCTATGTTTATAAAAAAAAAAAAAGGGTTAATCCTAGAGGAACCTGGCACCCAGACCACTTCATTAAGCTGGAATAAACTTCTGGAATAAAAGGGAATTGTGACATGTCACACATGTCATGTGTCCTTAAGGGGTTAAAGGAACACTCCAAGCACCATATAGTGGTTAGACTTTCTCCCAGTGTAAGTAGTCACACCATTTGACTTTTTACTTGGAGTTCACTGGGTACCATTCCCTGCCTCCACTACAGCCTTCAGAGAGCTGAGCCTGATCACTCTCAGCTTAGCTCATTGGCTGAGAGTGATCAGCTGATGCTGTCAGTCAATGAGCTAGACCTGCACCACCAGACTTAGCTCAGGAGAGCTAAACAAAGCAGGTGCTTCCAGCTCTCTGTTAGAGCTCGTGGAAACCCCAGGGAAAAGATCAAAGCATTCTAACATGGTTTAATTATTTCCTGTGGGCACTCCTGGCACCATAACCCCACAGCACGCTGTAGTAGTTCATGTGCTTGAAATGTTCCTTTACATTGGTTTTGTATGTGAATTGTGCTACATGTTGTTTTTAGATGACCTGAAAACAAGAACGAATATTCACTATATGTGTTAGCTTCTCTACAAAGTCATTTTTCTTAGAGTGGGAGCAGGAGATCAGAAACCAAGTGTAGGAATTGATCTGCAGCACTGTGTTTGTGGGGTAAGTGGAATAAGGTTCCATATCAGAGTTCTTGTACGCTTCAGCAAGTTTTGTTCTGAGAAAGAGGGTTTCAGTTTATTTTGTAATTGTAAAGTTTAGATGAAAATGGATATTAATTTTATTGATTTTGAAATTGCCAAGTTTGAATGAAAAAATGGCTATAGTACCAAGGTCAGTGACATTTTTTCCTTCATGCAGAAAAATTGATAAGAAGGCAGACAAGATGCTTTACAGGAATGCTGTTACTCTGCACGTTATAGAAAATGTGTGATTCTAAAGAACATAGATCAGTTCCTTAGTGATGGAAAAGTACAGAATGATATGTCTGTTCTGATGAATTACACAAGACACAGCTGAGAACTACAATGGACTTTGCACACAGTATGGTACTCAGAATGTAGCATGTACAGCAGACACTGCCACCAGAGCCCCACACAGCCCTTAATGTGCCCAAATTGTATGCAATAATTTATTTACAACATTTTATTGAGTAACAGAAGTTAACAATGCACTTCAGAATATTCACCTTACAACGTTTAGTTTTAAAGAGAAAGAAGAGTATGCAAAGTCCTGAAAATACTTAAATGCTATTAGTCTAATCCTTATTTGTAATAGTGATGACCTGCATATAGATTATGCACATTCACATGTGGGGTACCTTGATCCCTTTAAAAAGAGGGGAGCTAAGGGTTCCATTAGAGACCAACTCCTCCAAGGCAAAAAAATTGCAGTTGTTGCTGGCAGTCGCTGATTTTGTATCCATCATCTGTATCTTCAGGGGACAACAGACTCCCTGTGTGAAATGCCAGACTCTGCACCATCACAATATGGAAATACCAGTGCACCTCAGAATTTCTATATGACGTGTGACATCACTGTACACAGTAGAAAGTGTAGAAACGTCCAGGCACTTCAAAATTCAACAAAAGTCAGTTTATTCAAACCCACAGCCAAATCGCAACGTTTCGACCTACATGGTCTTTTTCAAGCTTGAACATTTAAATTGCCTATTGTTGAATTTTGGAGTGCCTGGACCTCTCTACAATAAGTATCTGGTCTCCTGGTACTGAGACCTGGTTTGGTTGCACCCAGATTCAGATTGTTAGGGATTGAGTGCAGTTCCATACTGTTGTTTTTGGAAAATAACTGTACACAGTGTCATAGTAGAGATGTGGAACGGCACTCAATCCCAAGTATTGTGTATCTGGGTGCAGCCAGGCCAGTCCCAGTACCAGGGACCAAATACTTAATAAAGAAAAATAGAAGAAAGGCCCAGGCACTAGGAGATACAAAAAGGCAAATTTATTGAACCCACTGCCACTCACAACGTTTCGACCTATACAAAGACCGTATAGGTTGAAACGTTGTGAGTGGCAGTGGGTTCAATAAATTTGCCTTTTTGTATCTCCTAGTGCCTGGACCTTTCTTCTATTTTTCTGTACACAGTGTCATGTCATTGCAGAGCCCAGGTATTCTTAATAAGTGTATTTAGTAGAGATTACGCTTCCTCATTATATTGTAGTGAGGGAGAAATGGATATTAGGTTAAAAATATTTGTGGAGTTGAGATATTGAAATGGAATAAGCCCAAAAGGAGCACCAGCTGCTAAAAACAGGAAGAGTAAAAGTAGGACAAAAAGCGCAACGTGACACTCTCAAAGAGTTTTTTCTCAAGCTTTCTTGAGAAAGATCTCTTTGAGATCGACACGTTGCACTTTTTGTCCTACTTTTTCCAAATAAATCTGCTGAACAAATGACCCTTGAGTGCCTGGACCATAATTTTGTTTAAATTACACAAATACAGACACAAATGGTTGCGCATGCATGCATTTCTAAATCACAAATACACACTTAGAAATGTATACATATGTATGCATGCAGACATACTCACAGATACACATTCAGTTATACATGCAGACACATTCACATAGACAGGCTACTAGCCAGTTCTGACACTTATTGACCACTTTAAATTCATATATGTATAGATTTGTTTTGTACAAAATGGGAATAGTAGGACACGGATATAGTATACATATTTGGGTATGTTTATTTTTTTTTCTGTAACCAGTTATCACAGTGCTGCCCTTGGAAAGAGTGAATTATAGAGGACATTAGTAATAAGCAGTGTCTGATGGTGTTGATCGGCTCTCATATGACACAGCTAGGGGTGGCTAAGCTCTGGGAGTCAATAATATCAACATATTTTGGTAGGTGTGATAGTGTAAAAGTCACCATGGGACTTATGTAACAGTTTACCAGGAGTTGGAGCCCAGTTGCAGGAGATGACACAAGAAGGAGGCAAAATCCAAAAACAGAGTCCAGATAAAGGGGTAATCCAAAGGCAGGGTCAGACGAGAGGCAGAAGTCAGGGCTGGCAGCGGAGTAATGAAGTCGGTAAATCAGGCAGAGGTCAGAGTCCAGGAAATCAGTCAGTAGCAAAGATCCGACAGGAAAAACCAAACAGGCAAAATGACAAGATCATAGGTTGCAGGCAGGGTTGGCTTTTACAGCCTGCTAATTAGGTGCAGCTGACCCTAATTGGAAAAGGGCTGCAGGTGGATCAGTGCTGCTTAATCCAGGCAAGGGGGTCAGGAAGCAGAAAAATGCAAACAGAAACTGAAGCCCCCTGGTGGATGTCATGGCAGAGAACCTGACTGGGATGCTGGAGCAGTGAGTTCAAAATGCCTTGCTGTTTGCAGGGCTCAGGCTGTGCCGTGACAGAGCCCCCCCACAAGGAGCGACCTCCAGGGGCAAACAGACATGGCGTTAACTAGTTCAGGTTCAGACAGGAAATCCAGGTCTGTATAGGCATCAGGATCTGAGAGGGTTGGAACATTTTGCAGGTTGTTATTCTTTGAGAAAGCAGTGGAGGCAAGGAGGCGAGAAGGGGATGCAGCTCTGGCCTTAAGAGTTTGCTCAAAGACCTTTAGATCTTGCCTGCGGACCACAGTTCCATTGGAGGCAATTACACAGTCTGGGGACAGATCCTCTGTGTTAGAGCAGGAAACTTTAGGGGAGACTGAAGATGAGGATTGGAAGGTAGCCACAGCTGCCTCCTTTTGAGGCTCTGGAACAGGAGCAGGTTTAGCCAGGGCTGTGATGGTGCCATTGGTCTGGTTAGGTGGTCTTTGTGGTCCAGTAGCATGCAGAGTTGAACAAAAAAGGGGCCATGATGGACTTGTAGGATGGTGACACAGAGTCCCCACATGGCTATGTTTAGGGAGAGGAGAACGTATCGGGCAATAACTGATGTATTGGCCTCCCTTGCCACAATAGAAGCAAAAGGCTTTGGCTCTCCTTCTGGCCTTTTCATTTACCGTGAGCATGGTATTCAGTGTTCCAATTTGCATGGGTTCCTCTGTGTCCATGGTGGGGATAGGGGTATAGGTCTCACCAGCAGGTTTGGAACATTGAAGGGGCAAAAAGCTGGTTTCAAATTGCTCCTGCTTCCTTTCTCTGAACCGGCAATCTAGCTGAGTGACCAGAAGGAACAGATCTTCCAATGAAGTGGGTACCCCAACTCTGGCTAGTTCATCTTTTAATGCCTCAGACAGACCCAATCTGTATTGCTCTATTAGACCAGTCTCATTATAACTGGTGTCAGCAGCTAGCTCCCGGAAATCTGTAGTATAATCCTCCACTGGTGGTCTTCCTTGCCGGAGGGAACGGAGGGCAGTGCGTGCAGCAGCGGGTCTCAGGGTGTCATTGTATAATGTACACATTGCTGCAACAAAGGAGTCCCATGAGTCCAGTATTGGACTGTTTGAGTGCAGGAGTTGGTGTGCGCAGGTTTGGGGTTTACCTGACAGCAGGGCAATAGTAGTGCGAACCTTCACATAATCATTGGGGTATGTGCGTGGTTTTAAATTGAAGAGCAGTTTGCAGGCTGTGATAAATGATCACACTTCAGTCATTTTGGGTTTGGGACAGGAGGGTCACTTGCTGTGTGAGGGTACTCAGGACATTCATCAACTCCACGGGCTCCATAGTAGTCGATCTGGTCATTATGTAGCAGTCACCATGAGACCTATGTAACAGTTTACCAGGAGTTGGAGCCCAGTTGCAGGAGATGGCACAAGGAGGAGGTAAAATCCAAAAACACAGTACAGATAAAAGGGTAATTCAAAGGCAGGGTCAGACGAGAAGCAAAAGTCAAGGCTGGCAGCAGAGTAACAAAGTCGGTAAATCAGGCAGAGGTTAGAGTCCAGGAAATCAGTCAGTAGTAAACAAAGATCCGGCAGGAAAAAACAAACAGGCAAAATGACCAGATCATAGCTTTCAGTCAGGGCTGGCTTTTACAGCCTGCTAATTAGGTGCAGCTGACCCTAATTGGAAAAGGGCTGCAGATGGATCAGTGCTGCTTAATCCAGGCAAGGAGGTCAGGAAGCAGAAAAATGCAAACAGAAACTGAAGCCCCCTGGTGGATGTCATGGCAGAGAACCTGATTGCGATGCTGGAGCAGGCTTCGGCTGTGCCGTGACAGATAGCATTAACCTGACTGAATAGATCTTGCACTTCTAAGCATACATACGTAAAACAAAATGAAGAAAAATTGGGAGGAGGGATGAAGGAAGAGAGAAGAATAAGAGGAGGCATTCTTAAAGTGGTTAATAGAATAGGTTAAAGAACCTATGTACAAGTGGGTTCATGTTATTGGTTTTGTGGCCGTGCAACCAGCCTGCCAGAGGAGGCATGAGTCGTACAGGTTCTGCAGATCGTGATGATAGTTTGTCGCCTTATCTGAATGTTTTTGTTTATTTTCTTTTTTTCCTTTATATTATTATTTATCACAGCATTGTTTCCATATCGTGTGGACTTTGCTTGTGATCTTCCCTGATCATATTTACATGTGTGCCATTGTCTCATAATCCCAGTTCAGGTTTATATGTTTGAGTAGGGCTTTCTCATATCTCAGGGGGACAGTTTCTGACAGGTAGGTAACATTCTTTGTAATATTGCTTCCACCATCTCCCAGTGTTGATGAATGACTGGACAGGTCCACCAAATGTGGAGCATTATTTCTGTCCCTTCCCTGCACCTCCAGCATTTTATAGTTAATTTCTTTATGGTTTCTGGCTCATCTTGTATGCCCATTTGTCTCTATCCCTTAACTTCACACTCTGTTGACAAAGCCAGTCCTGGTCTAAAAATGGGGAGGTTGACTAATGTCAGAAGTAGATGGTAAGTCTAGGAAAGAAACAGACTTATCTGTGCTTTTAAATATGCCTTTATTAGTGGTAGATTTGGGAATTATTATGGTTCAAGTTGCCGTGTAGTTGGTAACTAATAGATAAATTACTTTCTGTGTCAGACCATTCCGTCTCAGCAGCTGTTGAGCTACTACGGCTGTTCAATCACCTGTGGTATCTACGTTTTTGTTTGAATATAAGGGAGATATAAGGACACATATGAAGAACCTCTTTTTATGCAACCACATTCCAGAATTATTAGACAAAGAATGTCAGGTAACATATTAACACCATCTGTTACTTATACTCAATCCAGACACCCACATCTAATGTGTACAGAATATGCAATATCATAATGTGCCTATCACCAGTCAATGTGAGTCTCCACTGTTACTCGCCCCACTTTTTCCTGTGCCATATCTTGATGAAAGTTTGAAATATAGTATTGTTTGAGGAGTTTCATATTCTGTTCTTTTACTCATGACACTTCTTGGAGTTGATTGATGGGGTATGCAGGCAACGTTTCCATTTGATCTTATTGATTTTCTGGAAAATGTAAGTGTGCAATTCTGCAACTAGAAGATACAGCATGTGAAAGATCTATATTTATCCATGTAATATAAAGTTATTTTAATTATTATGTTAATGTCAATTTATATATTAAGTTTATCAATGTGCTAATCAACATGCTATGATATAATGATGACATCTGTTACATAATTCTGCATATTTTGCTTCTCTGCACATTACATTTTAAGCAGACTGGTGTGTGACTACTAAATTGTAGCATGCTGAATAAAACGAATTCCCCAATACACCATTTTTGTGCAACTGTAAACCCCTAAAGTGTAGCTCATACTTAACAGTATAAAACTGCATATTCAACTCTTTTGAAACAAAATGAGTTCACTATCACACAGGCTTAAAAGAACCAAGCAGTTACTAAGGCAACGGTTGAATAATGTAATTTCAGTTCTCCATTTGCTGATTCCTAAAAAGACACTTTCCTTGATTCTAAAAGGAAAAAAAAAATGCAGCCCTCTTTAAAATAATATTCTTTCATATGCATACAATTCATATATAGAGCCTTGCATGAATATTAAAACTGTTGGACATTTGCAATTGTCATTGTGGAACGTGGAATAACAATGGATTTTATTAGAATTTTAAGGGTGCAAAATTATTGTATTGTGACATAAGACAAAACAGACTGTGAATTAGCGGGACACTTCACTGCCCAAATTAAAAAAATAAATAAAAGTTTATAAAAGAGCAAGGGTAGTTAGTTGGTTGGTAAAAAATGGTTGGTTACACTGTTGGTACAAAGTTGGTAGATTTTGAGCTTGTTAGTTGCTCAGAACCTCAGGAATGTAGGGAATGTGAAGAAAATGTTAGCACTTTACATGTTGCTATTTATGTGATTGTTATATTGTTATGTTAATGTTTATAATATGGATCATTGCCTTTTATTTTACATGTGAGGATGTTATTATGCTGTATGGTTGGGGGTTGGGCTGGGCAATGACTTTAGTATGTTTGCTTTGATCAGCTGTTAAAGCTGTGGACATTTTGACCCATACATAAGAGTGTTGGTGCCTTATTGGGGGTTTACCAGTTTGAGTGTAAGGTAATCTCCATCTGAACATATGACAACAATGCACATGTCATGATGGCACCACTATTTGCTGCAAATGCAGCTGTGAATCTTTTTAGGTAAGTCTCTTCTCCACTGCAATTTGTCTACATAGGCGCTTAGGGTGCACCCTACCAACTCCAGAATTATTTGCCAAAAAAGTTAGAAAACTACTTAGCATATTTTTATTACTGTAAAAATAGTTTGATAGAAAACAACATAGTTGCATCTCTCTTAAATTGTCCTATCCTCCGTTATGATTAACTATGATTGATTGCTGACTGAGCCAGCAGATACTGCTCTTTGTGTGCTACAGGGCATATTAAAGTCTAGCGTTGTTTGCAAAAAAAATTCTTATCTGATTATAGACCTCACACATATTCTGTATTCCTTATAGCAGCCCAAAGCAGGAGGGTAGATGTAATTGCGCAGCCCAACTGCTCACGCCAATTTCACGCTGCTCGCTGGGTTGCCTGGAAAGCAGCAGCACTGATATGATAAGAGATCATTTTGCTAGTCCCATGTTAGACTGTAAAATTAGAAATTACTCCCTGCACAGGTCTACTAAATGTTGCTTTCATAAATCACTATGCATTGGGCCATGATGGCGTTGTTTAGTAGATGTGTTTATGGAGGACAGGACAGACAAAGAGACATGTAGTAATATACATATGTCTACCTGTATTTTTTTCTTTGCAGTTCTTTGTAGTGCTGGCTAGTGTTATTTCTGCAGCTCTGCTTACACGAGTACAGTTATAAGCTACATATACACTGATCAGCCACAACATTAAAACCACCTGCCTAATATCATGCAGGTCCCCTCGTGCTGCCAAGACAACCCTGATTCATTGAGGCATGGACTCCACAAGATCTCTCAACATGTCCTGTGTCATCTGGTCAAGCATTTGTTGTATGGTAGATTCTATTAATTTATCATTATAACCTTTGTTTAATAGGCTATTTTTAATTTTATTTTCTTGTTCCATATCACCTTTTTATAGGTGAAACGTGTCAAGTGGATTTTATAGGACTTTTTATTCAGCATTTTATTATTTTTGTTGTTAATAAATAGTTTTTGAATTTTAATACTTATCCAGATTTGAACTCCTTTTTACTTCCTGGTCACCATCAGGGCCTGAATGGCCCACCGGGATACCGGGACATTTCCCGGTGGGCCGCAGTAATCTGGGGCCGGGCAGACAGCCCAAATCATTAGGTTGTTTTTTAAGCATTTTCCCCTCGGACTGTGACAGCCTGTGTCAGTCCGAGGGGAGTAATGAGGGAGGAGCTGGTGGCTGGTGCGGCCGCAATTAGTCTGCCCACGGCCGGAGGGAGACCTATGAGTCTCCCTTAACTATTTACCTTAATTTCGTCCGGCTGTGTCTGTCTGCTAGTGAGAGAGAGAGTGTGTCTGTCTGCTAGTGAGAGAGAGAGTGTGTCTGTCTGCTAGTGAGAGAGAGTGTCTGCTAGTGAAAGAGAGTGTGTCTGCTAGTGAGAGAGAGAGTGGCTAGTGAGAGAGAGAGTGTGTCTGTCTGCTAGTGAGAGAGAGTGTGTCTGTCTGCTAGTGAGAGAGAGAGAGTGTGTCTGTCTGCTAGTGAGAGAGAGAGTGTGTCTGCTAGTGAGAGAGTGTGTCTGCTAGTGAGAGAGAGAGTGTGTCTGCCTGCTAGTGAGAGAGAGAGTGTGTCTGCTAGTGAGAGAGAGTGTGTCTGCTAGAGAGAGAGAGTGTGAGTGTGTCTGCTAGTGAGAGAGTGTGTGTGTCTGCTAGTGAGAGAGTGTGTCTGTCTGCTAGTGAGAGAGTGTGAGTGTGTCTGCTAGTGAGAGAGTGTGAGTGTGTCTGCTAGTGAGAGAGTGTGTCTGCTAGTGAGAGAGTGTGTCTGCTAGTAAGAGAGTGAGTGTGTCTGCTAGTAAGAGAGTGAGTGTGTCTGCTAGTGAGAGAGAGTGTGAGTGAGTGTGTGTCTGCTAGTGAGAGTGTGAGTGAGTGTGTGTTTCTGTGTCTGTTTGTTAGTGAGTGATCTATGACTGTGAACCTGGTGATGTGTACCAGTAGGTGTCTTAGTATGGACAATGTGTGCTATTGTTTAGATATACTTTGTGCTCAGAGGTGAGATCCTTTTAAACTGGTATCCAGGACTCCGTGCTAAGATGTGCTCTCTGAATATGAGATACAATAACCATATGAAAATGAAAAGACCCAGTCCTGGGACAAGAGGAACTCCACAATAATGGGCTTCAGGGCAGCCCAGTGCCATTGTGCTTAGACCGCTCATTAATAAAATAAAGACTGACACATGACGGAGTTGGGTCAGGTCTGATGAGGTTTCCTGAGATCAGGCAGACAGTTTAGGTGGTCTGTGTTTATTTCAACAGCACTAACTAGACCCTTTCCTCTCCTCCCCTCTGCAAGACCACCAGATTTAGTTTGATCCCCTAGGGTAAAACATTTTTGTTTATTTTTGTTTATTTTTACTGCACCAACAAGTTAATGAATAGGCCAAGATCAATAAGGCTCTGAAATTGTGAAAGTGAAGCAACCAGGTAGTTATTCAAATTCTCTTGCCAAAGAAAAGGTTCCAGGAGAATCCCTTCTGTGTAAAGCAGGGAGTTTCTTTATAACAACTCTAGTGGGTAAAGGTTCTTTTTTTTTTTAAAGAGAAATACACAGTGGTTGCTTGTGTATGAGTTACTGCCTAAATGTTTAGCAGAAAGAGACCCCTGTATACCAGCTGGGAGTGAGTGAGTGAGTGTGTGTGTGTGTGTGTGTCTGCTAGTGAGTGAGCTTGTGTGTGCCCTCTCCTGAATTAGCTTGTGTGTGTGGCTGCTAGTGAGTGAGCTTGTGTGTGCCCTCTCCTGAATTAGCTTGTGTGTGTGGCTGCTAGTGAGTGAGCTTGTGTGTGTGGCTGCTAGTGAGTGAGCTTGTGTGTGTGTGGCTGCTAGTGAGTGAGCTCGTGTGTGTGTTTGTCTGCTAGTGAGTGAACTTGTATGTGTGTTTGTCTGCTAGTGAGTGAACTTGTATGTGTGTGTGTCAGTGGGCTTGTCTGTTGGAAGCATGTGTGTGTGTCAGTGGGCTTGTCTGTTGGAAGCATGTGTGTGTCAGTGAGCTTATCTGTATGGAGCATGTGTGTGTGTCAGTGAGCGTTTCTGTAGTGAGCATGTGTGTGTGAGCTTTTTTGTAGTGAGCATGTGAGTGTTAGCTTGTCTGTAATGAACATGTCTGTCAGTATGCTTGTCTGTAGTGAGCATATGGGTGTCAGTGAGCGTGTGTGTGTGTGTGTGTGTGTGTGTGTGACCGTGATCTTGTCTGTAGTAAGCCTGTGCATGTCAGAGTTTGTCTGTACTAAATTTGTGTGTGTACCATTAAGCTTGTCTGTGTGTGTCAGTGAGATTGTCTGTCAGTGAGCCTATTTGTGTGCATCAGTGAGTTTGTGTTTTTATGTTAATGAGCGTATGTATATCAATGAGATTGTCTGTCTGTCTGTCTGTCTGTGAGACTGTGAATCAAAGAGCTTGTGACAGTGAGATTGTCTGTGTCTGCATGTGGGTATGCTTACTGTACAGTATAGTTAAATGTTTTACTCTAAAAGGACCAATATTTTGAAATAATATATATATATATATACAGTGGCGTACATACCAGGGTCGCAGGGGTCGCGGCTGCGACCGGGCCTGGCCCACCAGAGGGCCCGGCCGTCCCTGCGAACCGGTATGTACGCCACAGGGCCAGCCTCTTCCCCTGGGGGGCCCAGTGGCTGGCCACCTCAGGGCCCCCCGAGGCTGGCCCTGCTGTCACACACACACTCCTGGGCGGGTGGCCGGTCGGCAGGCAGCACTCAGTTCTTCCTCTTCAGCTCCCTCGCGCACCGCACTGATACCGGAGCCGGAAGATGACGTCATCTTCCGGCGCCGGCATCCCTACGTGGCGCGCGAGGGAGCTGAAGAGGAAGAACTGAGTGCTCCCTCGCGCGCCTGCCTGCCCGACCGGCCACCCGCCCAGGAGCCCAGCAGCACCACCACTGGACCCCAGGGAATCCCCCCAGCACTCCAAAAGGTAAGGAGGCTGGGAGGATTAAATAAAAAAAAAAAAAAAAAACATGTGTGAGTGTTTGAGTGTGTGTGAGTGTTAGAGTGTGTGTGTGTGTGAGTGTTAGAGTGAGTGTGAGTGTTAGTGTTTGAGTGTGTGTGAGTGTTAGAGTGAGTGTGAGTGTTAGAGTGAGTGTTAGAGTGAGTGTGAGTGTTAGTGTTAGAGTGAGTGTTTGTGTGATTGTGAGTGTTAGTGTTAGAGTGAGTGTGAGTGTTAGAGTAAGTGTTAGAGTGAGTGTGAGTGCTAGTGTTAGAGTGAGTGTTAGTGTTAGAGTGAGTGTTAGTGTGATTGTGAGTGTTAGTGAGTGTTAGAGTGTGAGTGTTAGTGTTAGAGAGAGTGTGAGTGTTAGTGTTAGAGTGAGTGTTAGAGTGAGTGTTAGTGTTAGAGTGAGTGTTAGTGTGTGTGTCTTAGTGAGTCTGTTTGATGTCTGTTAGTGAGTGTGTGTTTGTCAATGAGAATGTATGTTTTGTAAGTGAGTGTGTGAGTGTGTATGTATGTCTGTCGCTGAGTGTGTCTCTGTTAGCTAGTGTGTATGCGTCTGTAAGTGAGAGTGTGTGTGTGTCTTCAGCACTTACCTTTCTCCAGCACCGGGCTCCCTTGGCGCTGGGGATCCCTCAGCCTCTCAGCTCCGAATGAGACCGCGCACGCATTCAAACCGCCCATAGGAAAGCATTACTCAATGCTTTCTTATGGACGTTCAGTGTGCTCCTCTAGCGGCTGTCAGTGAGACAGCCACTAGAGGCTGGATTAACCCTCAGTGAAACATAGCAGTTTCTCTGAAACTGCTATGTTTTTGGCTGCAGGGTTAAAACTAGAGGGACCTGACACCCAGACAACTTCATTGAGCTGATGTGATCTGGGTGTCTGTAGTGGTCCTTTAAAGGACCACTATAGTGCCAGGAAAACATACTCGTTAGAGGAAATAGGGGAAGGCTTAACTCATTCTCTGAAACTGCTATGTTTATGAAAAAATGGGTTAACCCTAGCTGGACCTGGCATCCAGACCACTTCATTAAGCTGAAGTGGTCTGGGTGCCTAGAGTGGTCCTTTAAGTGTGTGTGCATCTGCATGCACTGGCGTACATACCGCGGTCGCAGGGGTCGCAGCCCTGTAACCCCTGCGACCAGGTGCCCACCGCCATGTGTTGCGGCCCGGCCCGCGCGCCGGGGGGAGGCCCACGGATCAATTTTCGCACCGGGGCCCCATGGGTCATGTGTACGCCACTGTGTACACATAAAATATATATACACACACTCATATATATATATATATATATACACACAATACACAGCACAATGACTTATGGGGCTGGCATAGATTTTTTTTTTTGCCAGGGCGGCTTTGTACCCCCAGTCCGGCCCTGTTTGTACATTATTATAGTGAGCGCCTAATTCTCTTGTTTTTCTGCAAGTTGAAATGTTGGTCCTCCATGGATCGGATTTGTTGTTCCAACACATCCCACAGATGCTCAATTGGATTGGGGAATTTGAAGGCCAAGGCAACACCTTGAACTCTTTGTCATCTTTCTCACACAATTCCTGAACAATTTTGCAACGTGGCAAAGTGCATTGTCTTGATGAAAGAGGCAACTGCCATCAGGGAACACCATTGCCATGATGAGGTGTATGTGCTCTGCAACAATTTCTTGGTAGGTGGTACATATCAAATTGACATCCACATGAATACCAGGATCTTAGGTTTCCCAGCAGAACATTGTCCGGAGCATAACAGCTCCACAGCCAGCCTGCCTTCTTCCCATGGTGCATCCTGCTGCCATCTCTTCACCAGGCTAATGATGCACACACATCTTTCCATTCACCTAATCTAAATATATACAGTATTCATAAGACAAGGCAACCTTCTTCCATTGCTCTATGCTTCAGTTTTGACACTCACGTCACCATTGAAGGCTCTTTTGGAGGTGACAGGGGTCATCTTAGGGACTCTGACCGGACTGCAACTACGCAGCCCCATACACATAAAACAGTGATGCACTACATGTTCTGACATTTTTTTTATCATGGCCAGCATTAAGTGTTTCAGATATTTGAGCTACAGTATCTCTTCTGTGCGGGAATCTAACAGGGGAAGAGGTGAAAGTCATCCTCCTCATCCAACGACCACGCCATATCTGCCAAGTGACCCTATGTAGGGGTAACAGTCCCTATTCTGCTCTGTGTCAGTGTGTGTCAGGGGCTCTGAGGACAGGTGTCAATCCATATCTGCCAAGTGACCCTATGTAGGGGGAACAGTCTCTATTCTGCTCTGTGTATCAGGGGCTTTGAGGACAGGTGTCAATCCATATCTGCCAAGTGACCCTATGTAGGGGGAACAGTCTCTATTCTGCTCTGTGTCAGTGTGTATCATGGTCTCTGAGGACAGGTGTCAATCCATATCTGCCAAGTGACCCTATGTAGGAGGAACAGTCTCTATTCTGCTCTGTGTCAGTGTGTATCAGGGATCCTTAGGACAGGTGTCAATCCATATCTGCCAAGTGACCCTATGTAGGGGGAACAGTCTCTATTCTGCTCTGTGTCCGTGTGCATCAGGGCTCTGAGGACAGGTGTCAATCCATATGTCAAGGTGTCAATATGTCATATGTCAGGTGTCAATCCATATTC